GGTATACCTATGATGAAAATTACAGGCCTCTCTCATCTTTTTAAGTGGGAGAACTTGCACAATTGGTGGCTGACTAAATACTTTTTTGCCCCATTGTAATACTGCAAAGCATGACAATGTAGCATGTCCCACGTTCAGTTGGACGTTGCTCTTTCTTCTCCATTGATCTACAACATTCAGGCACCCAAATGAAAGAACTGGCTTTTGTTTCAGCTCCGTGTGGAGCCTGCCAAAGGGAGATATTCTACACTGGAGTACAAATAGCAAGGCCTCCATTCTTTCTACATACTCTGAGGAGTGTTCACCACAGCACTCTCGCACAGCTTGTAGATCTTTGGTCTGCAGATCTGGGCATATTCCAGCAGGCTCTCTTGGCCCTCATTTCCTCTGGTTAAGCCAACACTAAAAATATTTTGAATAGGCTTCTACACCTGTGGAATGCCTTGGATAGTAGATCATTGTAACATCACTAGTTTGGCTGTAGTCTGTGCTGGCAACTGTGAATTCTGTTAATAATTCACAGCAGTATAAGAGAGTTAGGCAGGAATGAATGTAGTCCTCTCAGAATTCCTTTCTGTATTTATAAGTGTTCTGCAAGTTGTCATCTCTGGAATTTTTATAAACTTTTGTGGGACACTTACACTGTTTTTCAAGTGTTCTTCTAACTTTTTACTTGAATTGAGATTGTGGGTGGTAATCCTAATCCAAAAGATAGATTAAATATGAGATTGTTGCCTTGGAATTTGAGAGTAGATTTGATATCATGAAGTAGATGGCCAAGATTAAATGCAAGCTAACCTTGCTTCCTATGCTTCCTATTCTTCCTTGTTTCCTGTGCTTCTCTGTCGTGTCCAAAATACAACACTTACACCTTTCTCTCTCGACTCACCACAGTGGTGCCCCAGAAGGTATCGTATCTTCATATACGTGCACTGCTTACTACAAGGAAAGAAATATTGCTCTAGTTTGGACATTGTGGAGAAGAATAAGGAATAGGAAGAACCAAGCATTTGTTTTTGGTTTTTTTCCTGCATTACATTGAATAATCTCCAGCATAGTGGGTGGTATATCAGTTTTCTGTGTGAAGCTGCTGTGGATGTTTATTAACTTACTTTATTTACATTGACAGTTCCTAGGGCAGGGGTGCAGCTGGCAGTTTATAGCAGCCTCTGTAGTTTGAGTAATCAAAGGGTTATGAGTTTTTTTTACTTAAGATTCTAGCATGCCTGCTTTTGCAGTACTGTATCCTAAGGTAGTTGCATCATGAAGTTTATTTAGTTTTTCTGTTTAATAAAATTTCAGATTGTTTTAAGCTTTGCTCCTTTACTGTTTTTGAAATTTTAGACTACAGTATACCAAAAAATCTTCTGGATATTATTATAGCATGTATATCTTGAATCTAA